CTAACACAAAGACAACAAATGTCTGGCCAACAACCAGAACTACAAAACACCAATAACTTCGCTTTGTCGAAACAAAGAAAAAACCAGAAAACTTTTAGACAGTATATGGAAACACATGTGGGGCATTTAGCCGTTAGATAAATGTTGACGAGGTCAATGGGCGTAAAGCGGAAGTTATGGCCGGGATGCAGCTGACCCTGTGACACGTACAAATAAAGTAGATGCCGGCGGCAACTTTGTGCCATTAACAAAGCGTACTCAAAGGGCAGACCCTGGTGGGCAGAGAGAGAGAGAGAGAGAGAGAGAGAGAGAGAGAGAGAGAGAGAGAGAAACGGAGAAGGATGAAACGACAGCTACACGGGCATTACGTGCCCAGCCAATAATCTCTGTCAACATCAATTTGGAACGAGGCCTGAGCAACTGAAACTAATTAAATGGTGTCCCATAAATTGCACATTAAAGCAAATTTATTGCATGCCCAAAATCGAAATTATTGCCAAAGTCGCGAGACGTTTAATAAACTTGGCCAACAATTTGGCCCGCAACTTGGCAAACGTGTCGCGATCGTAGCATACTTTACAGCGCTAACCAAATTGTGATTTATGCACCAGCTTATCAGACTTGAGAGACTGTGCAGACTCTGTTATTGCCGGAGTTGCTGCAGTAAAACAATTCAAGCCAACTTTTATTTCCATTTGCCGAAATGCGGGCTAGTTAGCAGCTTTCAAGCTTCATTTGTACATGGCTTCTATCCCTCTCTCTCCCTCTCTCTCTCTCTCTTTCTATCTTTTTCTGATTTGTTGAAGCTTCCTGTCCGTCATTTGGCATTAGAACAACTCTTGTTAACTCAACAACAATTTGAGTTAACGATGTCCGTGAGGTATCAAAAGAATTTTATTCAACATGGCACGTGGCTGCATCGATCCGTGAATCTGTGTGGGTGTGTGCGTTTCTGGTGTTTGCGGTCGCCAGGACCCTGAGCTCTTGGTTTTCCATGTGTCGCTGCACAGGTAGCTCAATTGATTTTTCTTTGAAATCTAGGCGACCCTCAGACTTGCACAAACTGCAGCTCATATCAATATTTCCAACTTATTTATAGAATTAATATTTTTGCTTTTATCCTGATTTGCTTGTTGAGCTGCATTCCACTTGTTGTTGGCCAACTGCAAAAGTTTTTTATCTTTGCTAAACTTCTAATACGCAAGTTTTGACGTTATCATTTTAATGCAGCCTCTGGTTGGCTGCTGCGGCAGCTGCTGTCAGTGCCAGAACCCTATGGACTGTCACTTGCTTGCTGTTGACAGGCAGAGTGCTCCACTTTCAGATAATGCTGCAGCAAATGTCCAAATGTTCGACTAGTAAATAAATTCAAGCATTAAATTACAAATACAGTATAGACTTGTTATTTTAGCTAAGAATATTTGCTATCTTCTTACAAAACGTAGACATACTGGGTTTAAGCTTTTATCAACATAATACTAGCAAGCTTCTTTCAGATAAGAGCCTACGAAAGTATTGCGATAGTTTTGGATAACAATTGCAAACAATTATATAAGTTAAAAAAAGGCTATTATGTGTAATTTTATTGAAAGCAAACCAAAATATTAGCTTAATCACAATACATTTTCATACACAATTGATATTAGCAATAACTGTGCTTGCATAAGTAGAATTCAGTTCCACTTTAATCTAAAGTGCTACCATCAATGAAATTAGCATTGCCTTATTTCAAGGACTGAGCTGCTTTACTCTCTTAAATCAGTTTGATTTTGTGCAAAGCCAACTTATCTCACATTCGCCTAGTTATCGAATATTAGCTGGTTTTTCTCTTTCCTTTTTCCTTTTTTCTTTTTTTCTTTTTGCAGCTAGTGCCAGAGCTATTGCTATTTCCGCCGAGCACATTTACACAGCTTGATGCAACCAATGTGGTTTTTATTTCTGCCATGTGGCAAATGCGACACAAAGTTGCTGCTCAGTGCATGCTGCTTGCCTGCAGCTGTGCAAGCGACACTCGATAGACAAGGCTGTGGTTCTCTTTTTTTCTTTCCACTAACAAATACCATTTGAGGTACAGACCCCTTCACTATGCTGCTGCTGCTGCTCTGAAAACATTGTCACGTGGTTTTTGTATTTAGTTGCATCGCTTATTCAGCAGGGACTGGGAACTGAGGATTGCCGAGGTCGAGGATGAGCAGGTGGACGAATGAGTATGTGGCCAAGGCCAGATTGCTTACCTGACTGCCAGTCGCTGCTATTGTTGCCTCTCTCTTCTTCTATCTCTCACAGCAGCACCACAACACCACCCGCTTTTGCTCTATTGTGCTCCGCGTGGAGCCACTGCAATAAATTCCAAGCTACGTTTCGTGTAGCATTGTCAGGGAACCGGCATTGTGCTACAACTTTATTCTGTTTGTATTTGTATACGTCTTTGGTATTGTTGTTGTTATTATTGTTGTTTGTGCTGCTGATGCTGCTTTTGTTGTTAGGGAAATTGAAATAAATGTGTGTGTAAATGCGTCAAAATGAAGTTCTGAAAATGTTTTTTTTCCCAGTGACAAGTGTCAATTAGAAAATGTTCAGTTACATTAAAGCATCCAATAACAACAATAGTGCACAAATATAATGGCAAAGTACAACAACACTCACACCAACAACAACAATAAAAGGAGCAAGTGGTTCTTTGTAACTGACAGCCACTACTTGTAGCTATTGTCGTTGTCATTTTCATTGTTGTATCCCCTTGCAAAGCATGAAGATAAAACCAAAGCAACAACGATAGACAGACACATAAAAACAGATAAAGCGAGAGAGAGAGAGAGAGAGAGAGAGAGAGACAGAGAGAGAGAGAGAAAGAGAGATTCAGATTGATATATAAGCTGAGAGATAATTGTAATTAGTGGCACTTTCAAGTTAGCTGGCACAAAAGTTAGGTCTGAGCAATGTGAAGACTTAGTTTAAGATAGACTGGCGGCAAGTAATGCTGCGCAGCGTAGATTGGACTATTAATTAACATTTATAAGCAAGTGATTAGAGAGTAACTTACAGTTCAAATATAGAGATGTAATTAATTGTTCTTGGATTTGGATAATTCGTTTTTTTCTGTAGCATAGATCGAATTACAAAATGTAAAACCACAGTTGAATTTTATTCTGTTTTTGTTCAGCTTTTAAATCTATCCTGTTAAATGTAAATCTTTTTTTAATTAACTAATTAACCAATTATAAGTTCTGCTCAAGAATTCATTGAGGTGTTTTGCTGAATGCAATAACATTACATTATGTGAGAAAATCCGTTAAGATATGCTCCGTTATGTGTTTAATAAATTAGTTACGCTCGTCGTAATTCCATTTATGAGTGTGTGTGCATGTGTGTGTAATTTAGGTGATATCTCTGGGTTCATTTTGCTTACTGTCTGCTAATTAAATAAAATATTAATATTAATAATTAACAAATTTGGATGTCTGCAGTAGCAACCGCCTTAAATCTACCATTGCCGTGTTGCAAGCCATGCAATTAAGCAAATGATAAATCTATCATTATGTGGGTGGTAGGTGGGCGAAGGTGATGGGGGGGTCAAATGTAATGGGTATGTGTGGTCAGTGGGCCACAAGCTGTCTGCTCTTGTTGCTGTTCAACTTGTTGTTGATTTTTGTTGGCGGCTCTATGCTTCGGTATGTGTGTGTGTGTGTGTGTGTGTGTGTGTGTGTGTGTGTGTGTGTGTGTGTGTGAAGTGTGTGTTCAACTGCGTTAAACATGGCATATACGCGATAATTCCGTTTGCCATCACACACGTAGATTTATGCTGCCTACAAAGCAGACAACATATTCGCTGGCATTTATAATCTGTTCATTATTTGTATTTAAATAGATATCCATCTCCCTCTCACTCTCTCCCTCTCTCTCTCTCTCTCCCTCTCTCGCTTCCTCTCAGCGAAGCCGCCTAATGCACATCTGTTGTGCGCTTGGTTGCCAATGTTGTTCTTGTTCCTCGGCTGCTTGGTTGGCTAACAACAAATTGAAGGGAAATGATTCCATTTCATGCTAGATTAAACATGTGTCCACATAATTTATCGATTATTTATCATGTGGTCGTCTGTTTGATTGTGGACAAAGTGACGGAGCGCCTGCCGGGCATTACTGCGACTACTATAAGTGCTTGTCTATGTGTGTGCGGGTGTGGGTGTGCGAGTGTGGCTGTGTGGGTCTGTGGGTCTGTGGGTGTGGGAGAGTGTGGATGTATGCGTAGGCCTTTGCGATGTTATTGCGCACACAAGTGCAAAATTAGAAACAAAAGCCTGGCCCAAGGCGCTTTCACGTAGTTTGCAACATTCTATTCCCTACTCGTAGTACGCAGTTGTTCTCGTTGCTGCTGTAGTTCTGGTTGTGGTTGCTGGCCCCTTGACTGGTTTTTTCTACATGTTATACGCATTGCATTTTTACCGCATACAAACACACACACACACACACACACACTAACACTAACACAGCTTGTGGAAAAAAAAAATGAAAATGGCAGCCATTTTGTAATCCGCATGCGGCTGGGTAATCACCTCATCCAGCTTCCCTCACGTGTGGCGGCTTTGGCCGGGTTTTTGCGGCACATTGGCGCATAATGTGGTCGGCGCTGTAGATGTTGTGATTTTGTTGCTGTGTGTTTTGTTTTTATATTTTTTTTTTTCATTATTTTTCTCTCTTTTTGTGTTGGTCAGTCCCTGGTTATTTGATCGATATTTTAAAGCTTTGCCAAATGGTGTGGCTGCATTAAGCGCATTAAACTAGGGAAGACCACAATTGTCATTTTGTTTACTTTGCGCGCATTATGGTGCAGTTTAGAAATGGATACAGGACATGGTCAACAAAATGACATAACATCTGTCACAAACCCAAATAAATTAAAACTATTTTTAAGGTTTTAAAATTTGTCGTATGATTTTAAAACATATTGAGAAATAATCGATGCAAATTAAAAACATCAATTTGTTTTTCTGTTGCCTTTACAGATGGTGAAATTTTGCGCGTGCTTGTAAATAACTCGGCACAAATCAAATGCGATGTGGGCTCCAGTTTGCCCGATGACAAAGTGCTGCTAGTCGTTTGGTATAAAAACAATTTGCCAATCTATAGGTAAGTTCACCGAGCTTTAATTCAAACTGAAGTTGAGCTTCTTGTTGTGGTTGCCATCTCATGTACTTCTACACACTTGACAGCTATGACACACGTGGCGCCCACGCGGGCACGCCCTCCCATTGGCGGGATGAGGAGGTACTCGAGGATCGGGCTGTCTTCCGCACTCACAAGGAGCCAGCGGAATTGATTATAAATCCGGTTAAGGTAAGCAACCCCAAATAGCCATGGCCCAAGCTAAAGCTAAAGTGTCAACAATACAACATTCCATAATTGAATTTTTGTACCCCAACAACACAGGAAAAGGATGCGGGAAACTTTCGCTGTCGTGTGGATTTTAAGCTATCGCAGACCAGAAACAGCAATGTCAATTTAGAAGTTGTTGGTGCGTATACAAATATTGATTTATTTTTTATCGCTATTTACAGTGAAAGTATATTTAAAAGTGGCCTAAAATAGGTTAAAGTAAATATATATTTAGTATATTTAGAATCACTCAATTCTCTAAACTTAGTATGATGTTTTGCAGGTTCATGTTTTTATTGATTTAACGCTACATAATATTGAACTTAATAACATTTTAATATAATAAATTGCAGTTCTCCAAGTTCAGAGAACTCTTAATAGTATATATTATTTTAAATATAAATATTTATTCTATTACACGTCAAAATGTAGCAAAATCAAAAAGGCATGAACATTTAATGATGACTATTTTTAAACACATAAATTAGCTAATATGATTTTTTGGTTAACCGCATATATGTACATATTAAAATACAAATATACATTTGTGAATATTTACTATGCATAGTGTAATATAATATATAACAGTGTAAGTTCATTCCCTTTGATATTGTTAAATGCACAAATTATTTTTGATTTGTGGCTAGCGAATGTTTAAAAATGTCAGATTGGGACATTGACCAGATCCTAATTGACTTTTAATTGACATATAACTAATCCACAACACCCTTCACATCCCTTTATAGTGCCCCCACAGCAGCCGAACATTTACAATGAGCGCCGACTGCGCATCGATTCCCGTGCGGGTCCCTACGAGGAGGGCGGTAGTCTGGAAGTCACCTGTGTTGTCTATGGCGGTGAGTAATCGCATTTGCATATTTGAGAAACAAATCGAACTTTTGTCCGGACCTGGGGTTTTATGAAATGCAATTAAAGTTTACAAGCATCGTTAAAACATAAATTTTCGTGCACGAAAACTTATCAGAAATTAAAATCGTGCTGAGAAATGAAAAACAATTCGTTGATTGTCCGATGGGGTTGGCAATAGCGAGCGGGGTGGTCTTTGTATGCAAACAAACAATGGGTAGCGGCATATTCAACAAATAATAAATAAGGTAAATAACGTTGAATTGTAAGGAACGACAACAAAAGTCAAGGAACAAAAAGCCAATTGAAAGCGAATGCCAAATGGCAAAGAGATCGCCAAAGTCAATTTCTCAAATATACGTCGTACACAAAAGGATTAAAATTACCGAGTTGCCGGGAAGGAAGGTGGAGATGGAGATGGAGTGGGGCGGTGACACAGTGCAAACGAAATGCAAAGAATAAAAAAGCTGCCTTTCAGCATAGCCAAACAATTGTTAAGCAAATAAAAAGGGGGCAGGAAGTTGGCGGCAGTCAACAGGCATTTGTCAGCATCGAAACCATGGGCGACAAGCTGACAACAGTTACTTACACTCACACACACATACACAAACACACATAACACTTAAGTCAATTGTTGATAATGAAAGCCAAAACGAAAAAAAAGCCGCCAGTGTGAAAGAAAACTACACTCTGTGCATTGTGTGGCACTACGGCCCTGTGTTTCAAGCCGGAGCCAACAACAATGGCTTACACTTACAGTAAGTATGTCACACTCAACACTACTAACAACAACAACAACAACCACAACAACAACAACAATATGAACAACAGCAATAAGAAGCACAAGCAACAGAAATCGCGTGCTTTATCGCTGCGGACTGCGAGCAAACGAAACTGTGGAAACTCTCTAGCCAAAACGGAAGCGAAACCACTTTGAATGGTTTGACATGTCAACGTTGACATAAAATAAATCACCAGCGAAAAAAACAACTGCACTCCAAAACTGGTAACTAGTAACTGGCAACTGCCCAGTTTCATAGTTGACTGGGCGGCTTTAACTTAACGGGTTGACTGCCGCAACCACACAGTCAAAAAAAAAAAAAAAACAAAAGCACTGAAACAATAGTATGTGCCAATTAAACGGGGCCTAGAATTCTTGCTAAGTGTACCACCATATAAAAGGACGATTGTACATATTTATATGTCTGTGCGCCGAACAAGTTGCTGACAGGACGCAAGGGTCGAAAGGTTGGCCTTGGGATGCATTATGCTTAAAACTTGTTCAAGAGTGAGTGGCAAGTCGTTGGTCAAGCCTGTTGACAGCTAAACAAAAGTCATTTCTATTGTTAGCCTCAAAAAAATAGAAACAGAAACAAAAATAAACAGCAAATGATGATTTTTTAAATATAATTATTTAATTCTTAATTGTTTAACTATCATAAAAATGCTTAATCGAATGTTTATATTTAAATTATATTTTGTTGGCATATAAAATCATATAAATAAATAGTTTTCCCCATAAATAAAAAAAAATTTAATTTAATTATAATATCGTAAAAAAAATCATGTGACAAACTATATTTAAATATCACTGCTAGTATCAGGAAAAGAACTACTTATTTTGAATAAACGATATTTTCTTCTAAAAATTGCTATGGTACTATGGCGGTGCCAACTGACCCAGATACATTTGTATTATTCATTGGCGAAATTATGTGTCAATTTGAAAATGAATGCAATTAAATGTTGAACAGAAAGTGGAAATAAATTACAGGCAAGTGCTGGCATTATGTTCAGCAGGCAATCAGGAAAGACAGAACGAAGAGAACAAATTTGAAACCGGCACTGAACATGCAAAGTCCATTATAGAAATTGCAATTGTGTGGGTAACAAAAAAAGGAAAGCAACAGAAATGAGAGCTAAAAAGTTGCCACTTAAAGAAGTGCAATCAGTAGAAGTAAGTCAAAGTGGAGGAGTTGAGCTGAGTTGCTGGGAATGGCAATCAACGTGCGCCTACTCCAAGTAATTTGGGTTGGCTTGGGTCTAGATTAAGGGTGTGCGAAATCGTCAAAGTAGCACTAAATTTTATTGCAGCTCGCCTGTTGGAGGAATGGGTGGAACAGTGGACAAGGTTGGCAACAGTTGCAAATGAGCGCGGCACGCCAGCCGGCCCAAGAATGCCGGGTGTAGAAATAAAGTTATAAAGCCGCACAGTCTGCGGTGGTAGTAAAAATTACCCCCAAAAAAACATAAGACATCATAAGGCTTAGTACTCTGCATTGTGACTAGATGGCAACGCCAGTATAAAGGTCTCGCCTCGCCTACTCGGCTACTAATGCACAATATTTCGCCTACTTTTTTTTTGGCACGTCATGAATTTAACACACGTTGCCTTTTGTTGGGTAAAACGCTGCCACACACAATTTTTACCCGTTCCCAAAGTTGGCTACAAAAATAACAGAACACCAACAATAACAATGGCTTCTGGGTGTGTGTGTGTGTGTGTGTGTGTTTGGGTATGTGGCAAACGGAAGTGCAGGCGTTTTCCGCTTTTGCCAAAGTGCGCGGCTGACATAGAAAAAATTTCTTTTCTTTTAACTGTTGTTGTTATTGCCATCCTCTGCTTCTTAGTTGTCGGTGTGGCCAGGTTGTCGACTACAAAATTGTGTGCATTTTTATTAAAATTTTTCCCCTGTTTTTTCTCCCCAAATTCGAGCACGGAAATGTAACAATACGGCGAACCAGGCAAGAAATTGTTTACCACAAAGCGAAGGGAAGCTAAAAACTAAAAAAAAATAAACTTTGCTGTAAAATGCATGCCAAATTTTGATGCAACGACTGTTGTTGTTATTCTTGCTGGCTTGCATAAATTTTTACTCATTTTGCACTTATTATGAAGGCTTTTGAATGTGGCATATTTTTCATAGACATATTTTAAGGCCGTTTGCTATTTTAGAGAGCTTTTATAAAGTTATCAATGGCGATGTACATAAAAGTTCATTATCTCAGGACTTTAATTTATAAGTATTAAGTTTTTTGATATTGCATGAGAAAGACAGACATTTTATTTATATGTAAAATCTGTTAATCTCTCAATAAATCATTATATGGTATAATTTGGACTTGTAGTCTGCAGTCTTTTATCTAAATCATTACAAGCACTATCATTTGATTGATTGCTGATACTTTAGTGTATTACTTTCTGTACATTAAAGTGATCAGATTTATTGTTGTCACTCTGTTGCCAACTTGAATTTCTGTGTGCTGGAATCTTGCATTGAAATTCATGCGCCGCTCCAGTCAAGTTTTTGAACCCTTGCAGGATTCTGTTATTGTTCCAACAAAATGTGGTAACTCTTAGTGAACAAGGGGAGACGACAAGTCGCAAGCCATTTCCCATACCTCGCACCGCATTCCAACTTGACATGACAACTTGGCATTTGAAGAAGAGATTGAATGCAAGTTGGTTCCTGTTTTTGTTTGCTCTTAAAGTCAGAGAAGCAGCCACCGGCAGTCTTTGAATTTATTTTACAGCTTCCTCAATGGTCGCTGGCTGGGCACAAAAAGCCAAATGCCAAACATTAGGCACAGAAACTAAGAGAGAGAGAGAGAGGGAGAGCGAGAGTGCGAGACAGTGAGAGAGAGAGGAGGGGTGAGCGAGCGAGAGAGAGAGAGAGAGAGAGAGAGAGAGAACGAGAGAGAGGGCTAGAGGATGTGCTGAAGTGTAGAAAGACAACAGCATAAAAAATATTTATGTGATTTGTGCATTTTTGCAACTATCAGCAGCAGCAGTCATGGCTGTTGTTATTCTTCTTGCCATTTTTATCATAGACGTACATATTTTTTTGTTTGCCTGCAGTTTGTGCTTGCTGCAGCAGCATGTATCACCCACACAGCAGATGCAAAAGATGCAAAGATATGCAAAACTAAACAAGCAAATATTTTAGCATTGCACAACTAAGGCCAGTCCAAACACACACTCACACACATCCACACTCATGTGGAACTCTCTCTTTCCCTTGCGTTTACTCTAGATGTGAACAAATAGGACAATGAGCAACGAGAACTCAGCCAGCAGACGCTTGCATTAGCGAGTCAGCCTGCGCTTTAAGTTTTCCCAAAGTCAGCTCAAAAGTACTAGAAAAAAAAAACAAACTAGCACGCATTTGAATACGGCTGCTCATTAGGACTGCAGGGAGGCGGACTGGGCGTGGCTGGCGGCTTTGGACTGGGCGTGACAAAGAAATGTTAAAATGTCGCTGCTGGCACAAAAACCAGCTTTAGCCTGTTCTAAAAATGGCTCTGCACTTGGAAAAAAATAAAAAGAATAATAAAAGATGAAGGAAAAGAAAGGGAAGCTAACAGGTTGCTCGACAACGCGATACTCCGTGAAACAGTAAGCAATAATGAAAGGTGCTTTGATTAGAATTCTTGGGGGTAAAAGCAAAAAAATATATATTTAAATACACTCTATATCCTGCTCGATAAGAGTTCTGCTGCTTATATATATATTCATAACCACTACGAAATCAATATATTTACAGGGTGTGCGAAAAATGCAATACTGCAAGCACTATGACTCTATGTGTTTGTTCACACTGCAATGCAAGTCAGCCTCGGAGCAAGGCACAACAGGCACATATAGAGTACATATTTGTTCCAATATATATACTACACATGTGTATGTGTGTGTGTGTGTGTGCGTGTGTACATTTGTGTGTTGGCACCTACTGTTGACATTAGAAAAGCTGTGCACAGCTGGTACGACTTTAAAGTGAAAGCAAAAGTTGATAAGAGAGAATGGCAAAAGGGGTCGTTGCTACTGCCAGGGGTTGATGGGGTTGGGGCAGCAAAACGTCTGGACTCTAATTAAATTCTTGAGCAGAGACCCAGAGACCCAGAGAGACAGAGAGAGAGGTTGTTGGGGGAGAATTGTAGTACAAAAGCGAGTGCGAGGCCAATTACTTAAATTTATGTGCGAACAGCACGCACATTGGCCCGAAGTAAGCGGAACACGCGGCAAACTTCCAACTTGTAGTGAAAGAATTGCTTTAAGCTTTGTGGCAGCTGAGTGGAACGAAAGACACAGCTTAAATCGAAAAATGCATTGCCAAATCAAATTTTGGCTCGTTTGCAATTTTTGCTTTTATTTGTTTCTTTTCCCGCTTGATTCTATTTCTGCGAGGCTAATAAATCATTGGCGACCATTAAGCCGCATGCTACATATGTGCTAATCTACCCACCCACCCTCACAAATATACATTTAGACAAATGTGGCGACCTCAAAACACAGATATGTGTATGTGTATGCATCTATAGTGCGCTGTTCGCTTGAGTGTGTGAAATATTTTCATAAACAACATAAAACTCAACCAAATGGCGGTTATTAATCAAAGTAATGCGAGTTTATTTTTGTGTGTGTGTGTGTGTGTGTGTGTCGCATTTTTCATGGGTATCAAGTGCAGCTAGTTTTCTTGAATATCCAGGTGGACTTAATGGCACTTGGCAGAAATATAGAACACAAACGAATTTAGTTTTCCATAATTCGTTTAAGATATAAATATACTTCTTTATAGCCTATTTCAAGCAAACTACACGCTGCAAAATGTCTACAATACTTAAAAGTAATGGGCAGAGCAAGCGAGGATTATGCGCAACTTTAAGATGTGAAGCACTTGTGAATAATTGTAGAGCTTAAGCTACATATGCCGAAAATCATAATAATGATAGCACAGCTAATTATAGAGCGATTACAGCACACAACAAGTGCTCACTGGGGTTCTTCAGTGGTTTCACTAACAAATCCTTGACTCTAGCCACCTTTTGTACAGTGTATATGTATATATATATTTTTTCATTTCTCCAGCTTGTAGATTTGGGCAACCCGCAGCTATTAAATTAATGTGCGCTCATATACGCACACAAAAGCTAATTTCAGTGCTTGATTAAGTTGAAGTCGTTAAGAGCGGCCAAGTGCCACACGCTGCGTATGAGTAATGTGTGTGGATTTAAGTGCCACGCCAGCAAGAACAGCAACAAAGGCACCAACGATAACGTTGACAGCGTCTAGTTAACTAGAGTAGTATAAGACTAAATTAGAGACTCTCAAAGGGCTCCGTCTCCCGCTGCGAGCAGGGGAAAAAACCTGAGCAATTCTAAAACTTATGAATACAAAATAAGAATAACATTCTAATATCTATAAGTTTCAAATTTAAAAATGAAAGCAAATTCCAAAGTTATGCTGACAAAACATATTGAAAAAATTAATAAGCATTTGCTGGCTACAATCTTAATTCAAAGCATTTCTCAACGACGTGGGTAGATCTTAAAAACTCTATTTTAATTATGACATGTATTCAATAGAAGCTTTTCTACGGAAAATGTATACAAATTTAAATAAAAGTAAATATTATTTATAACATGCTGGTCACATTCTACACTAACTTACACTCTTTGCCTTAATATTAATTCAAATAAGCGCGACGTCCATTTTAAAGCGTTTGTATGTTTGTTTTCTTTGAATATTCCCGCAGGCTCGCCACCGCCAACTGTCACGTGGCTGATGAATGGACAACTTCAGAACAGCGTTGTCGATTACACATACGATGGCACCATCAACAGCAAATTGGTGGTGCGTAACTTGTCACGCATCCACCAGCATGCGGTCTACACGTGTCAGGCGAGCAATTTCCACAAGAAATATGTGGCCACCAATATAACGATTGAGCTCTATCGTGAGTATAACCAAGCTATATCTATCTTTAACTATATATATATATATGTATATATAAGTGTGTATGAGCGAAGCTTCAGCTTTGTGTTGATTGCAAATTGTGCTACGATTTGATATGTCAACTGAAGTTTGTATTTGGCAACTTTTAACTATGTTTTAAATTGAAAATTTTCAAATTGAGTTTCAAGCGTGTGCAGACGCCAGTCTCAACAATAACAAGTCCTACAACAAAAACAGTGGCAGCACTCATAGCACAAAATATAGTGCGAAAAGCGGTTCAACAAACAGATTATTCAGTGTTTTTTTTTTTTTTTGGTTTTTTTCTTTTTTGTTTTTGGTATTTATACAGTTGCTGCTGCCCCAACACACAGCACGGTCTTAAGCGTTGCGATAAAAGTTTTAACAAATAGCTATGTAGATAAAACCCATTCACAGCACCAAAAAAAATAGAAGAAAAATATAATAGATAATAAAATGGCTTATGCAAATATTACAAAAAAAAAAAAAAATAAATAAAAAAATAAAAATAAAAAAAATAGAAACAATAGGAACAATAAGAAGTGCAGTTTGGAAAACGGCTGTTCAAACGCGTCCCTTGCAAATGGATTCCCTGGCTGCAGCTGCTTTTAGTGCAATCGCCTTTGGACATATTTTGTGTTGGGAAACATTCGTCGCTTTTAACGCATACTCACACATATTTACACACACACTCTGGTCGTATCCAAGTGCATTTGAAAACGGATTTATTATTTTGTGAACATTTTTTTAATTGGCCTTTCGCGCGACACTGAATTGCATTGCAAATTGTAAAATTGAATTAAACTGTAGCCAATTTTTGTCGGTCTGTATGCGCCTCTGCCAATGTGTGTGTGTGTGTGTGAGTCTCTTTGTGTGTGTGTGTGAATTCAGTTCAGGCTTTGATCCTGTAAGCCTTATTAGTATTTACTCGCTTTGATGCAGACAGAACTGTGTAAAATATATAAAATGATGACGTGAATTTTATTTTTGTGCAATTTTCAATTTTCTTTTTATTTTTCATTTTATATTTTCTTATTATTCTATTTTGTTTGTTTGTATTTTGCCCGAGGATTAAGTTTTTAACAATCTGAACTGCATCAATTTTGTTTTCATTGAGCATATGGCATTACATTCAATTTCATTTACTTTCAACTTGTTATTTATATTCTGAGAATTGAAATAGTTCGTAGTAAGTTTTCAACAATAACGAAATTGATTTGTTTAAATTTGTTTGGTATTGTGGATGGCTTGAACTTGTTGATTTTTATTCATTTACAATTCTCATGCCTCTTATTAAAACCGACAATAAGTACTTATATACAAAGTATTTTGATGTCAACTCTAAGATATTTCTAGGGTGTTTTTAAGTTTTATATTGTTTCTAAGCATTCTTGGCTATACAATAATTAATCATTAATTTGGTTAAGCGCCTACAAATGGTGATTCTATAGTCGCACAATGGCATTTTTGAACGGCCATCTTTTAATAATAATTTTATATAAAGTGCCGTTATTTTGTCAAATAAATAAGGAAACTTTTGCCAAAAACAATACCCAAAGCACTGGCATAGGTCCTGTTGCATTGCTTCAGCTCCTACTCCAGCCATTGCCATTGCTAAATATTATGCCCAAGGCGTTGCGCTAACAGCCAAAGATTGGCCATTGAGTTTTATGGTACTTTGGTGTCCCTCTCACACTTCCTTTCCCTGTCTCTCTTTCTCTCTCTCTCTCCCCACATTTGTTTCAATGTCGCCAAAAACGAAAAGCAATTGCTGTCAATTTTTACTTAGGCCTGGGCTAATAAAAGTAAAAATGTTTTGCGACAACAGATGGTGATGCGCATATTTGATATTATTACGCCAACACACACGAATAATTCGCTGAGTGTTTGTATGTGTTTGTGTTTGTCAGTGTATGTATGCGTGCGGGTGTGTGGGTGTATGAATGTGGACGTGCTATAAGAATGTCGCACTCAGCCTGCATACAATTTAACACGTCAATAAGAGAAGCTCTGTAATTATTACGAAATGTGTTTCGGGAATGTGACAAAGGACAACAAAACATCGTCATTGACTTTTTGAATGGTGTTAATTAATATGACAGACAAGTAACCATATCGACATAGATACGATATGTATGTATATACGCACATTTCTAGTCACAACCAGCTGATATAAGAAGAGAAAAAGAGAGAAAGAGAGAGAGAGAGAGACAGAGACGAATGTATCCTTATTGCGTGGCCCCTAAAAATTTGGTTTGCTTTGAGCTGTGCGTGTCGCAGGCAGCCAGTCAAGCAAAAACTTTTGAATAATAAGTATGACCTTAATTAGGTAATTTTATGGGCACTAACAATTAGATTACTAATGTCACGACTCTCATACGAGCAACGGGAGTAACAGCAGGAGACATAGCCAACTCATTAGCGCAAAATTTAAGTAACTTGTCCGAAATTGTTTCCAATGAAAATTCAAAACTAATAATTATAATGCTGTCAATTACCTAATTTCTGCCATTTACATATTTTTTCAAGCTAACACTTAATTACTCTATCAACACACAATGATTTGTGAAAATCTGTTATAATTTGAATGGATTTGAATGAAGTTGAAATCCACTTGTATATTCCAAAAATAGTCTGATTTTATTGTTATTTAGTATTTTAAAATAAAATGCAAAGTGAGGAAAATATTTCCATAAGTTAAAATAATTTCCAACAAGTGATTTGTAATCGGAGTTCGAATATATAAGTTTATGAATGTTTATCTAGCTTAAACCCTCATTTGCATAAATAATCACACTTAAGGATTGGATGCGTAACGCTTTTTTGTAGTGTGTTTAATTAAACATTTAAATAATTTTCCAATGAAAATTGGCATAATTAATTTAATAATAATAATAATCAAGTGTAACAGAAAAACAGAAAACCCATACACACATACATAAGAGGTATTCCAATAAAAAAAAATATGGCAGTAAGAATTCAGCAGTATATACATTTATCATACAAAAAAATGCGGTTTAAATAAATAAAATGTTGTTGGTTATTCAACACAATTTTTTATTTTACTTTAATTTATTGCATTTTGGCTTAAATGAAATGTCCTGCCCTTAAATGAATGCATAAAATACGCGGTTAACCGCACTTAATATAACACCAACGGCAACTACGCATACAGTATCCCACTAAAGTTTATATAACCTGCTATCTGCAAGAGGGGAAAATAATCAGATACGATTGAGTTGTGCACGATAAGTTGTATAAATTTCGGCTTAATGGTATTTTTTTGTATATCACATTACCATTTTTGATAGCAATAATACTTGAGGGATTTTGATTAGCTTATTTTGAATAATATTATAGCCAATGCTTAAATATTAATAAGAGATAATTTTATTAATTATATACAGGTGATGCATTTTCCTCATCAAGTTCTAAGTACATTTCAAAAGTATATGAAACTCTGATATATTATTGTTCAGAATAGGCCTCTTTAATAGCATACCAATATGTTCCTCAAATAACTTTATTTAACTTACAGACTCTAAATCAAAATTTGCAATTACTAAAACATTTAACAGTATAGGCAATGCAAAAAAAAGTAAATAAATATTAAATGAATAGATACAACGAAATAAATTTGTATTCAATTTAATATTATGGCAACAATGTGTAAGCTCGATAATGAACCTGGCCACATTACGTGACCGTGTTTATGTTTATTTTATGAACGGTTTTGGCAAATATGTCTATACACACTCACACACACACACACACACTCACACACACACACACACACACACACACACACACACACACACACACACACATAACACGCGTGTGTAAATATTTGCGTGTGCTTTTTTTAATTTGGTATGTAAACAATTTGCATTATCAATAAATATTAACAAGATTTCAAATTATGTGTCAAATACGCATATGCAATATTTTCATGTATGCAGGTATTTATATATGTATGTTATAGTATATGTATTATTTGAAGTTTTCTGTTTGTTTTGATTTCAAAATCAATGCGACGGCGTTAAAATAATTGAACGCCAATTGACAGCAAGGCAATTATTTTGTTCCATATTTTTATTGAAACTTTTTTAATGAGGCATTTAAATGTGAACTTTGAGTTCGTTATTCGCATTAAATATTCGTTTTGATAATCAAAACTTTTTTTCATTTACGACAATGTGTTAACCAGCTTGCAAAGTTCTCACCATTATTTTCAGTTCAAATAGGTTATAATTTTGTAAAGTGCTTAAATATTAAAAAGTAATTTTTCGTTAATATATACCGTTAAGTCTTTAATATTGTTGTAAGGAATCTGGGAATTCCTAACAGATTGCAGAAATAAATATGTCCTAAACAGCCCTACATTAATTCTGAACTTTTACCAGATTCCATTACTTAACATTTTAATCACTAATCTATTGTGGAATACAAACTGACTGAAAGTGTTGATATTATTACACTCGTGATAATTTGGTTGTTATTGCTGCTATTTTGCACCACTGTGCATATGTTCAGGCAGCGCTGCAATCGTAATTCGGTGCAATTAATTTTAATTGCACTGTTTTTGCGTTTTTAATGCATTTTTCGAAAAGAAAATGCTACACAGAAAAATAAAATGCAAACAACAAGCATGAAAAAATATGTAAACGGCATTTATACACATAAATTTATCATAAATATTAATGTATACACATTCACCCATCACACGCATTTTCAGTGCGACCCCTTCTGGTGGAAATCAGCTTCAACAATCAGCCAATGTCCGCCGACCGTAAATACGAGATCGAATGCCAGGCAATTGGCTCGAGGCCACCCGCAAAGATAACCTGGTGGATGGGCAACCTTGAGATGCACGGCCACAGCCAGAAGGTGAGTGACGCACCCATCAACGAACCCAGAACAATACCAACCCCTCTGTCCCTTGCAGGTCTCTGAGGATGGGAATGCCAGCACCTCGGTGCTGTCAATCACTCCAACGAGGGAGGATCACGGCAAAGCGTTATCTTGCCGCGCAACCAACGAGCTTGTTCGCAATGGCATACGAGAGACCGCCATGAAGCTAAATGTATTCTGTAAGTCAAATAACATATGTTATACATTTTGAAGAATTTTTTGCAAATTGGAATATAAATGGACATATAATCTAGCGGACAGACCATCACAAAAGAAGAAGCCTTAAAGCACGGTTTAGGCTTAAAAGTGTTGGGATAATTAAAGAATTTGACAAAGCCTAACTAAGAAAAAAATATTTTATTTTCGGACAATACATATATAATATTTACGATCTAAAAATATACTTATTTACCGACATATTATAAAAAAAAATTATATAAAATTAAATTCTAGCTTTTAAAGTATTAAAACTGATTTTATTATTAAATTGACAGATTATGGTACATTATAACTATGACCAATGACAATATTAGTTCAAAGACCGATAGTTAAGTGTAGATGTAAATGTGCAAGTCGCTTGACCTGCTTTAACTCACAAAATATTTAGTCCATATAAATGGGATAAGCTGGTCCCGGTTGAACGGAATGTCAATAAAACTAGCGCGTTACACAAAAGGGGGTGGTAGCTACCCCTGTCAAATAATTACACGCATGTTGAACACGCGCTTTGTTTTATGGCTGTCAGTGGCACATAAGCTAACTGGAGTGTGGGGGCTTGGGAGGGGGTAGCCATAAAGTGTGCCAAGCGCTTATCACCCGTGTCCTCAAAATCAATACTGATTTGCATATCAATTTCGTAGACATGAGGACTTTTTTTTTGTTCCCGCGGTTTTTAGAGCTTGAATGTCAAACGCTTGTTTTATGGGCCAAGTCAACAATGTGCGCTCCAAGTTTGTTAATAAAATTTCTATGCTAAGGACATATTAAAAAGGCAAGTTGCGCTCAATACGGTTCTATATGAGTGGCTCCTCGGTATAGTCGTCGCTGCTCAAAGACTTTGACCCTATATACACACTCTGCACACACATAGTTTGTGTATATGTAGCCTTTATGTTTCAATAGTCTCGAAGAATTTTTCCAACGTTGTCGTCATCGTTGTCGTTAAGCAAACAGTTGCCACGTCTATTATCTAAGAGTTTTTGGCGCATCGTTCCCCCTCATTGCCAAGGAAACTTTTACTCCTTTCAGCAGCAGCAAGAACAGAAGGAGCCTCCGCGGGAGCTAACCGTTGTTTGCTGTCTGTGTGGGCACCGCGAAGCAGACTCTCAATTTTACGCGCGTCGCTGGCTGATATAAAAAATTAGATAACAATTTCAATTTCCATGCTCATTTACATGTTTATAGCGTGCTTAAAATATTTTGTGCTCCTCCCCACGTTCCTCGGCAGCTTCCTGTGATTTCCTCTCGAGTGCTTGCAAGATTTTGTGTCTTCTTTAAGATTCGTTGTTTGCATTTGAGGGGTAAATTGAAAAGTTCCCTGCACTTGCGCTTCAAATGCGCAGCCAATAATTGTCCCATTATTCCACATTATAAAAAAAAAAAATTGTCATAAAAATGAAGTTATCTTGAATTTGACGACACTCTGTTGCAGCTTGTACGTTGACCCAGAGCAAAATGTGAAATGAAAAGGCAAAAGCTAAGCAAGAGATTTAATTTTACGCACAATCAACTTGTATTAACATTAAAAATTAAATGAAACGGAAACCACTAAAAATTAAAGTCATATCCGCAATAAAAGTAATGACGCAGCAGTTATCCCAAAACGGGGTCCGAAGGTGGCAAAAATACGGGCAATGTCCAGCCAATAAATTAGAGCGCCTGGTAAAGAAGGGAATTCCGCTTGAAAACATGTGCTAACAGGGTGAGAAATGTGAATTAAAGAGTAAATTAATTGTTCGTATAAATTATGAATTCATATTCTGAATTGGATGATCAATGAAGGAGGAGAAGCAATTGCGTAAAGGGTTTAATTCTCAGTTTGAAATTGTATTTATTATTGATAGTCAGCATTTGTTTTATGTAATAGAAAATAATAAATTAATCTGCCTTGGAATTATTTTCTAATATTTTCGACTACTCATAATGCATTATCCTGACAGCAAGGCATTAGAGCTAGTTTAGAGGAACATTATTTTCAAAACTATTTACACAGCACATCTGCCATTTGCAATTAATTTCACTCTAAGCCAATTTTTCTCAGTTTCACTTGGTCGGGCCGGGACAAAAATACTTTACAGTTAATGTAATTTATATGGTCAGTGCTGAAGCAGATGCTGAAGCAGCAGCAGCAATAGCGAGTGGAATCAATTTAAGGGTTGCTAACGAGCAGTTGTTCAACTTTTTACCCAACAGACAATGACAGGCCTCACACACAAGGGTTGAAAGGAGTGGGGAGTGTGCAGGAGTGGAGTGGAGTGGGAAAAAAGCTGTAGCACATTGGCAATGTCTGCTACAAAATGTGGCGGCAGCATTCAAAAGTCGTTACGTTAAGCTGCAGTTACGGGTTTTGGGTTTGCTTTGCTTTTGTGCTGCTGCAGTTGGACTGTGTGCCATAAAATGCATTAGCCAAGTAAAGTTGGCAAGTTTCGGACTTCTACTGACCAGCTTGGCCAGTGACAGTTATTACCACTTAAGCTCATCTAACCGCAACAGTGCGGTAGCCAGCCAACTAGCTAGCTAGCCAGCCACTTTCCACTTTTCGCAGTGCTCGGGGCATGTATTGTGCTCTGGCTAGAAACTGGGCTTAAAGTCAACCGTTAATGAACTTGTTGAGCAGGCAGGCAACAAAAAAGAGGTCTTTAAATTATGCAAACAACTTTTGCCACTGTCTTTGTCGATGCCATCGTTCCGTTTCTTGCACAATTCTCTAGGTAGCTGTCATTCACTGGGTTTAGGCAAGCGATTTTCATTTTCATTAACAAGTCTTTGCAAAGAGCGAAATCGGCTTAAGGAAACTTGTTTATAAAACGTGGCAAAGAAAACAGTAAGCACATCTTAAACCAAACTACAGCGTAACGCAGCGCAGCAGAAAAAGAAACCATTGCCGGGGGAGGGGCTGGCTGGCCAAAAAAGGAGAGATCGGGGGAGCAGTAAGAAGCGACACTAATCACAGATAAGCGCAGATTAACCCCATTTCCTTTTTTGTATATATGTCTTGGTTTCTGCGTTGTTTCCTCTTGCTTTCCATTGTTTTTTTCATTTTTTGTTTTGTTTTTAGGATGTGCTTAGCTTGGCTCATAGTAAAAACAAAACAACAAATTGCACTTGATAGGCAGGGCCAAGTCCAAGAATAGGCAGCATACATATAAGAAATAAATGCAAATGCAAATATATACTATATTATTAGTAATGTCTGTTTTGTGTTTTGTTATCTTTTCTTGCAGTTATACCCACCTTACAACTGGACCTGGGCTCAAATCTAAATCCGGAGGATATCGAAGAAGGCGATGATGTTTATTTCGAGTGTAAAGTGCATGCAAATCCAGCTGCTTATAAAGTTGTCTGGAAGCATAATGTAAGTAGCAAAAAAACACTATTCAAATCAAAGATTTATCAAGATTTATTAACTGACTTGACTTGAGTGCGAGCTAAAGTGAGTGAAAATGAGTTTTCCTTATTGAAAGTATATAATTCTTTTAGACTTTGTGAAATCATTTTTGTGGCAATATGTAACGATTTTTTCCTAAAAGTTATACATATGTATTGAAGAGCTTGAGGACTGGCAAAATATGGTTTAAATAGATTGACCTTCAAGTATACTTTTGCTCAAGACAAATGTGAATACGGATACGATGATTGTGCTTCCGGCAATTCCCCAGGCAGTGGCGTGCTTAATATGTGTATGGAAGTGTTACTGGGTGGGTGTGTATACGTGTGTGTGTGTGTGTGTGTGTGTGTGTATGTTTGGACTGTAAAAGGTGGAGCGCTACTAAATTATGATGAAACCAAAATTAAGTGGTAATTTTTAGTGAATTATTGGCCAATTATTTTAAGGCAATTGAGTCAAGTGGCCCAGAGTCGAGAGCGGCTTTGGGCCACTTCATGCGGCCAAAGTGGGCAAAAGTTTGCGTGGCCAAATCATTTGTTTATTAGTTTTACAAGTAGCACACAAAAACTTCAGTCGACTTGCATAAGTAAAAACAAAAGATAACAACAACAGTAAGCAGACAAGCACAACAAGCAAATAAATGTTATTCAATGTGCCAGACTCTGTGAATCAAGTGTATGAATAATATGAATGTTAATTGAATTCATTAAAAGACGCAGATACAACAACAACGACGAACGGAGACGACAAAACAACTAAGTACAAGCGCAAACAACATGGTAAAAAACAACTAGAACAATAACAACAATCGAGCATAACTTTGGCAAATGATTATAATAAATAAACAACAACACAGCCAAAAACTTTTTGGGCTCACAAAGCCAGTCGAAAAACAAATGTACAAATATCTTTAAGTTCACAGCAAGCAAAGAGAGATAGCAATTGACTTATAGAAAAGGTAGCAAAAAGTACATCTAGAAGTAAACAATATTCTGCCAAAGCAAAACATCAATAAATAACAACGACTAGACTGAAATGAAGAAGTCAGTAAAATTGCTATCAATCAATGAGCAGACAATCCCAACCAAATGTCAATATCAAATGCAAATGAGCTGAAAAATTAGAAATATGTGAATAACATGTTCTACAACGTGTCTGCCACGTAAATTGCCGAATACATACAAAAAAAGGCCAAATACCAAAATATAATGAAAAAATTAAACTCAAATTTTTCATTTCGCTCTGTTGATAATGTTTCTACACACAGATAGACAGATAGCGAAATGCACGCTTGCAAATTGCAGTTCATGTCATTGTTGACGGGGCTAACAACTGAACTACACAGTTAGTTAGTTGCCAGCCAATTGACTTGCTCGACATCATAACAATAAAAGTTTAGTGCCAAGCAAAAAACCAAACGGAAATGAAATGGAAACAAAATAGACAGACAAGCAAAAGAGACGAGCAGAGAACGATACAGCTGGGCATGTATCTATGTGTGTGTCTCACATGGCGTATGCATAATGAGTTCAAGGCTTAATGCTAAGACTTTAGTTTAGTGGGCCAGCAAAAGCCAATTGCTCAGGGTGAAAACCAAAACAAAAACAAAAACAAAACCAAGGACTGTGTCGAAAACAAGTCGAGTGTGTAAGTCGTTTGTTACAAGTCAATTGTTAATTGGCAACAACAATTTGTGCACAATTAAAATACCAATTAAATTAAACACACTTTTGCGGACAATTGTGCTAACTGCTGACGAAAAGAGATACCACGCTGAACTGTAAGTAATAATTAATTACCTTCAAGTATTTTGCATTGAATGCAATTCTCCTAATTAAAGGCACAGGCCTTAGCCTCAAGGTATTTTGAATAAAGTTAACTTTCAAATTGTTGCGGTTGCTAAGACTTAAAACTAAGCGACAACAGCTACAACGACAAATTCACTATGAGTGTGTGTAAACAATGACATGGGAAAACTGAGTGGAATTGTTGTCCTTGCTCTCGCTTTGCCTTTGTCAGTTATTATTCAATTATGCATGCCAACAATTAACGACGAGCTGGCAAATTAAATTAACAATTAGTTTTATTAAACTCGCATACATACAGCAGCAAAACTTTTACTCTACGTATGTGTGCGTGTATAAATGTACATGTGTGTGTGTGTGTGTGTGTGCGTACGAGTGTATGTGGTAAACTTTTGCATGCTCATTAAGAAGCTGACAACAACTTTGATGGAAGACGTTGCCAACGCAACCGACCAGCAATCGTTACGCAGAGGGTAAAAACGCAAAACCGACAACTGAATGCTGCTGGCAGCAAAAGTTACTTAGCACACCGAGAGATGTGTGCGTATGTGTGTGTGTGTGTGTGTGTGTGTGTGTGTGTGTGTGCGTCTGTGTGTGTTAACGAAAGTGCTGAAAATAACAAACATAATCGGGAAATTTGATTAGAGCGGAAGGTAGCCACACTTCAATTTCCACTAACTACACATATATAATTTTTAAACTTTAACAAGAACCTGACTCCGAATTGGAGAAGGATGATTGAGAAATGCAAAAGCAAATTTAATTTATACAATTAGTCAACAGTAAGCCCAATTGTTTATAATTTAGTATTATTAATTTTTTCAAACATATTGTTGAACAACGTTCAATTTGTATTAACGTTCAATTTTTAAATTCTTCATCCCCATAGAATGTGCATAGTTTTAGAACATTTAAACGTAGTCTTCATTAAAAATGGGTCTAGCTAAAGTTTTTGATGACTTTTGCAATTCGGAATAAGGCAAGAGTATAGTTAAAATACGAATAAATGTGAAGCTGAACTGCTGCGATCTGGGAGGCCAACGCCATATTCCAGACAACTATAGAAATGGTCAACACTAATTGGGTATTTATTGTAGCTGGGTACACAGCGCAGCAGCAATGGCAGCAGCAGTGAGCGGCAAGCAAACACAAACACCAACACAAATACAAACATGTCAAGGCGCTTGTCTCTGCAGACAGACAAACAAAATGGCAGCGCATAAAATGCGCCATTAGCATTGACAGTGGCTAAAAGGAAGTGGGAGGCGGGCCTGCGAAAGGGTTGTGCGCCTGGCACACAACAACCTGGCTTGAGAGCTGTGGCGAAACGGAAAAGCTAGGGCGGAAAAGCTGCAGCGGATGTGCCTTCAACTATTGAAATATTCCTAAACTCACGCCAAACGAAGCAAAACCCACTTCAATTTTATTTTTTTTTTTTTCTGTATGTATTTATTTACTTTCATTTTTTTTTCTATGTGACAACCTTGAACTTTATTTACTTTTGTGTGCCTGGCGACATTTTTATTTGTTTTATGACAACAGTAACAGAAACAGCAACAGCGACAACAACAACGCTGCAGCTGATAAAACGCCTTGGGTCGCTGAGTTCAGCAAATGGCTGACAACATTTGGGGAGCTATTTAAGAACCCTATGGGAATAGTGAAGGCTGCAAAGCACTATTTGCTGTGGTGGGACAGGGATGGGGGGTGTGCACGGTTAGTGCTTAGCCGGCTTCAAGGTCATGAATGTTTGTATGTGTTCTTTTTATGTGTCTGCCTCAGGCGAACCCAAGCTGTGCGCTCCAACTTAAAAATGCACTAATTATATATATTAAGCATACGACTAGTTGGCTGCACAAAAAGGTTAACAATTATCTAAAGAGCAAACAGTCAAAGAGCATTCGATTTGGGATAGACACACACAAATAAATTACTATATATTGAGCTGTGGCCCACTGTCATTGCCAGACAAAAGATGCGACACACACTTTCACACACAAAAGGACAAGTAGACAAGAGTCATCGTTGTGGACCAGTTTGCAGAAAGTAGGCAATACTATTATCAAAGTGTTGCCACATTGCATTGTTTCTTTCCCTCCGCTATTTGCACATATATTCTCTCTATTGATGTTGTTGTTTCTACTTATGCTTACACATTCCGTGCTAAGGTCATAGCGGCTTTGTTCGCTGGCTGTTGGTGCTTCGGCATTTTGACTTTTGTCGACAATTTATACACACATTTTTATTTATTTCGCAATGTTGTTATTGCCTTTGTTGCTGCTGCTGTGCAGGCCAAAGTGCGAATTTGTTTTGTTGCTAAATGGCACAAGGCTCTGGGGAAATGCGTCAAAATCTTGTCGAGGGCTAGCGCATTGGGGGCGCCACAACAACAACACAAGCTGAAGGCATTTATATATGTATGTATATATATAAATATATATCACATAAGGGTCAAGTTTGTGTGCGGGCATGGAGAGTCTGTTGGAAAATAAAGTAAATATTGGCTGATTTCTAGCATTTTGATAATTCCAGACACGTTTCAAACACTGACGCTCAATCTCTCTCTAATGAAGCGCCTCGCGTATGAGCGTCGCGTTTATGAGCAACTGAATTTTAGAGGCCTGGGCACCAACGGCTATAATAAATAAAGGCGGATCTGACCTTGCGCCCAAAGGCGGGCCAAAATGTATTGGGTTGAATAGCAATTTCTTTTACTTAGGCAGCTGATGCTCCAAAGCTGCACAATTTATGCAATACGAGTATGGATTGAAAAGCCTATTTTAAATTTATGGCAAAAAGCTAATGGTCCAATATAAATTTCAATAAAAACTGTGGCATATCTAACATTTGTATATGCACAAAAAGGCATGTTTAGTATATATATATTTGATTTTTAATTTATTAAGTTTTTAATCATCTGTAGATAATGGCAATAAGTAAGACTAAAAATTTGTGCATAATTTGTATTTGATGGTTTACAATCCATTTATTATCGTTTTTAAATAAATTAAAGTTAAATCAATTGCATTTGAGATGTAAAGCAAGAATTAATTTTTTAATTAGCTTTGGATGGATGTAAATGCTTATGCAGCTTGAAAAAGTTAAGTACCTAAGCCGCTTACACCTTTTCACATACACTGTGCACTTTGCGTAATCCGAATTAATTGGCATACCTTTTACTTGTGTGCTAATCACCTCTGATAATAGGCTCCAACCCTTCATATTTCCTTTAGAATGTGTGTGAATGACGGACAGAAAACAAACAAACAAAAAAAAAAGATGCTCATTAGCAAAAAATAAAAATGATGATATTAATAAGAATGCATAAACTCAGAACTTATGACTAATGAGAATATGGGATTCGCATATATATTTTTTCATGCCACTTGCAGCACCAAATCATCCAACATAATCAGCGTGCCGGAGTAATTGTGAGCAGCGGAGATCTGGCACTACAGGGAGTGACGCGTCACCAGGCCGGAAACTACACGTGCACCGCCTCCAATGTGGAGGGCGATGGTGACTCCAACATTGTCGAGCTTAAAGTTATGTGTAAGTACATACATGTGCTCAATGGATTTGTTACGACTTTAAGTGATGTGCGAATACGCGTACGAGTTGTACAGTACAAGTTGAATAAAAGAGTGTGCTCCATTTATTTAGGATTTCATTGAATTGATTGCGAGTTTTTATTGTTGTTGTTTTTGCGAGCGTATTCACATGTCAAGTTTTATAGGGCACGTGTTGAGTTTTATTTAGCACTTTTCAAACAAAAAAATAACGAAAATAAGAATGCAAACCTGAAAGTTATAGCTTTGTGCCACGCTGCGTATGTACAACATTTTAAGCTTGTCCCACTTTTGACATGTGTGTGTTTCGATTTGCATGGCTCGCATGCATCGCATTGTTACTGTGGGTGGAATCGTAAAAAATACGCGTTGAATGCTTGGATTGGGCCATCATTCTTTTAGCACATGGCAAGCGTACGGTTTGAGCCATTAACAAACATTCAGCTTTTAAATGCCAACTGGCTTTTAAATCGAATCCCGTTTTTGCCAACGATATTGCCAGCTTTTACTTGGATGCTGGCGCTGGCTGCACTGTTTAGGATTGGCTGAGAACCTTTGACACACAAAAAAGCAGCATTATTGAGTTGTCGAGTGGTTGGATGGTGCGAGGTTAGTGAGTGGCGCATTGTGCGACCGTGCGGCCCTCTTGCAGTTTTATTGCGTATACGCCCCCGATATTGTGTTACTCTCGAATGGCTTTTATGTTTGTGTCCTGACCGTCTTTTGTGCTCTGTTCACAATTCAAACTGCAACTTGGGTTTGGTTTCGGCTTTGCCATCTTGGCCTAGTGCACGGCGCATTCTTGCCGTTGAAAACTTGGATTTCTGCCCACAAGTATACAATATGCATTCGGGCAGCCTTCTGTTGGTCAGGTATGTCCTGAGGCCGACACAAAGCCCTTTTCGTGGCTTCCGGCCTTTTGTTGACATTTAGTTATTTTCCTATTCAATGAGCGCATTTCCGATTGCTTTTCACCATTCGTCTAACAACAAGGAAAGTTCTTTTCTTGGCCTAATTGTGATCAATATAGGATTTTGATTCGACAACTTTCAACTGCTTTAAGCTCGAATTGTGATTGCATTTATTTTTAAATTGCTGCAAATATATTTTGAGTGCATTTTTAATTAGATCTTTGCAAGTGAGGGCTAATTAAGTATGAATTGTATTTGATTTTCGTTGGTTAATTGGTTGCATTCAAATACGAGACCTTTGCCTTTTGAAATATGTTTTCACAGTTTTAAATTGTCCTCAATCATCAGACTTAATCCTCAAAAGAAATCTTCCGTTCAATTTGCTGGCAATTTCTAAATCAAAAAAAGCTACTGTTAATTATTTTCCTCTTTTTTGCAAGCAATTCATCACACAGCTCCTTATTCCCATCTCAAATTTATTGTTGTTGGCTTATGCTTTTATTTCCTGCGCCATTTCCTTTTGCTTCAGAATCCATTTTTTTTTTGTTGGAGCCATTGTTGTGGGGTTTTATTTTAAGTTAAACATCCGTTTGGAAAACCTTTTCCAACACTTTGCAGCAATTGTCTCGGTTGCTGTAGCGTTTTTCGTCACCCCGAAATGTGGCAGCACCACTTCAGCAGTTTCCAGTTTTACCACTCCATTGTGGATTGGGATAACCGCAGCAAAAAAACCAAATCTCTAAAACAATGCCTGACGCTTGGTCCAAGAGTCGATGCTGTCCATGGAAAATTTGTTTGAGCATTGGCCATTTCGCATATAGCATAACAACTACAAGAATGACTAAATTCAGTTTTGCCAAATCGTATATTAAATTGTGCACTGTACAATGCCCAATTCTGAATGCCGCTGCAGCTGCAGATTCGTCTGTCCAAAGATTAGAAGAAATTTAATTTTCCCATAGCTGTTTCTTTGCGACTAGAAACTTTCGTTCCGGCCAAGTTTTTCTTTCACTTAACGAATATCTCGTATTTGTATCTCTTTTTTCCTTTCGCATGGCTTTTTGTTTCTGTTGCTGTTTTCGACCATGTTTAGTTAGTGGCTTGAATGGGCAACGAGGAAGAAGAAGAATCCTGGATTTGGCTATATAGGTTGCATAGGACTCCCTCGCTCTCAATCTATAGTAAAGCAAAATTTCCTACTTTTGACTACGGATTTGAGTGCGGTTTTCAGGCGCATGCAAAAACAAAAACCGAGCACTTGTCAGTCAGCCAGCTTGGCTCTTGAGCAGCACAGAATGTTCACTCGAACTGTTAGGGCTTTATTGCATTAAGTTTGGGGCCAAGCAATGCGATTATTGATTTGCAGCAGCCGACGAACAGCAAAATGCACTCGACAAACATCAAAGTTTACTAACTTTTACCCTCTGTTTCTCTTTTTCTCACTCTCTCTCTTTCTCTCTTTCTCTCTCTCTCTCTGTGTCTCCCTAGATAAACCAATTTGCCGGCCCGATCAAAAGAAAATCTACGGCGTTGCCCGCAGCGAGGCGGCTGAAATCGTTTGTGAAGTGGACGCCTTTCCACCGCCCGAGAATTTTAAGTGGTCATTCAACAACACCGCCGAAACTTTCGATATGCCGCAAAGCGGTTTTCGACCCCACTCTGCACAGGGCTCGACGTTGACCTATACGCCGGTAAAGGTGAGTACAGCAGATGTATACTGATACTGATTGATATTTGCGTGACCCAAGTGATGATCCAACAAACAGTTGTTACTGACCTCGCCCACAAATCCACCCGCCCTTCCGAACACAAACTCCAGCAAACATTTATGTTTCGTGTCCCGTTTGCATTATGAAAATGACAAACTACATGCCGTTAAACGCTAAACATGGGAACAAGCGATTCAACATCACATGTGACATGTGTGTGAGTATTTTCGTGTGGGTGTGTTAAGGGGCGGGTTAAGTGCTGACTACACACACACACACACATACACGCACAGGCACAGGCACAGCAGACCACAGCAAATAGGTCTCTAATTTGGGTTGGATTTTTGACTAGTTTTAAAATTTAACTTATTGTTTTTTGATGTGGAATTGTTGTTGGCATATTTGATATTTGGCCGAATGGTAGGCGAAACAGCAAAAATCCCACTCGGGCTCCAAATTAAATGACAAAATTTTAATTAATAGCTATTGCTGTAGCAGCAGCAGCATTTATTGTTGTTGTGGCCCGTGTGCGTGTCACGTTGCCAAACATAATGTAAAACCAACACGGGAAGACAAAGAGCCGTTGGAATGGGTATAGCTTTCGGACAGCGAATGAGCAATTTTTAATTAAAAATTCTATTAGTGCTGCTTTTTAATTAAAAAGCAATGCCAATGGCAGCAATAATGGGAATAACAAAGAACGTCAGAGGTTAGTTAATAATATTAAAGCCCCTGACATTTTGACTTTAAGCGCGCCCCAAGTAAGACAACAAACAAAACAATTGACTTGCCGTTTTCTCTTCCACTTGACTCGACAATTGGCCAGCATTTTCAGCTCAAATTGCTAACGTTATCGTCATCGATATAGCCGCATTGTGATTGCGATTGCATTGGCAATGGCGATTGCATTTTGACGTTTTGTGCACTTCGCTTCCTCCCTGCCAATTGAACAGCCAAATTGGCCATCAATGAGATGCGTTCCTATCAATGCCAAAAATTTGTAACCGAATGCGCCTTTCCCGCATACCCTTTTAATGTACTTCCAATTGCGGCAGCAACTGCATTTGTTAACTTTTATGGCCTGGCGCAACAAAACTGAATATGTGCTGCAATCGTGGCACAGACAATTGAATTTGCCTAAGGCTGTTTCTGATGGCGATTCAACTGACTTGCCGGAAGGAAGAAGGAATCTATAAGCTTTTAATTCAACTATTCTGGAGTTTTTTAATATGTTATTTATGCTTTATCTATGTATTCCCAAGGTTACTTTAGCTCAATTAAATCTACTACAAATAACAATTATTCTTTCCCAAAACTCAGGAAACTTGATCCAACTACTTTAGCAGTTTTTAATCAACGATTCCCATAAGACAAATCCACGCTTTATATACATACATTAACACACCTACTTTATTTGGCAAATTAAAGAAGTTCCCATAAAAGAAGATCTGAGTTTCGAATTTCTCTCAATTTCCGCAGATCGTAATACATGCTTTCATTCTATCTCTGACTGTAAGCTGTATTATTCACTTGTACTTGCCTCTTAGCCAAAATGGTTGTCATTGTGCGATAACAAAATCGGCAACAACAAAAATCCGTGTCAAGAAATGCATCGCTTAGCATGCATGTTAAGCCCAAACGCAGTTGTTAAGCTGGCTAGAGCTTTGTCTGGCTGTTTAGCTAACCCAGTTTAAAGTTTAGCACCACATTCATTTTTGGGGTTAAAATGGAGTGGACTGTGGTTCTGTGTACTGACTGGCTGGGTTCACATTTCAGTTGTCAAACGAGAAACGTTGCTAGTCAAACGGCATTCAAATGAGTTCCGTTCACAAACAGTCACCCAGCGCTGATTGCACCCATACATACACATGCAGACACACACACACACACACACACACTCAGTCACTTTAAGACTCACACACAAGCATAAATCATTTAACTCAATTGAATATGAAAAATCCCTTCCGTTCTGTTGTCATATATGCTGTTTCCGGTTTCCGCTGCCGAAGCTCAAGCGCCGTCGCTCTCATTGTCGTCCTTTGAGCTGATTTTTCTTTTATTTTCTTATGTGGGATTTGCTCAAAGGCAGACAACAGCCAACAGCTCATTAATTTTTCGCCATGCTTTGGAATTTATGTTTATCTCTATCTCTCTCCCACAGAGATAATGTGTATATCTGTCTCTGTCTGTGTCTCTTTTGCATGTGTGGATATTTGTGAATGCCTTTTCCTAGGATTTTTTCGCTGCAGACACACACACACACACAATATTTGTCAAAATTGTCGTACACAGAACAGTGGCCGAAAAACTCATTAAAATGCCACTGAAATGTTCAAATTTTAATTAAAATTCATAAATAATAACATTTATTTTTCGGGCTGTCAGCACTAGACAAGATGCAATAAAAATGCAGGCAGGAGCTGTAACCGAAGCTCTCAAGAGGAAATCACATACTCTGCCCTTAAGCAAAATTCTATATATGTATGTATGTGTGTGTATTTGTGTGTGTGTGTGTGTGTGTGTGGGTGCGGCAGCCTGCAACAAATTAGGCATTTGTTTTTGTTGTCTTTACGCTGCCAGCTTTTACAACTGTAATAATATTTACGCTCAGTTGCGGAAACATTGAAATAATATAAACAACAGAGTTTAATGATAATAAATATGTACATATGCATATATTAGGGCATAATTTTACGATGCTCACACACACACCCACACACACACACACACACAGACATTTATAAAATAGAAAAGTATGTGAAATTAAACTAACGTCAAAGTTTGCTGTAGCTCAGGCAACTGTAAATTTATTAAGCATATTCTTAGTTGACAGTTGCAGAAGCCATGGCTTGGCCCAAAAAAATATGCTATGACTTTCACTATGTGCCTTATGCAGCATACAATTTTCAGACATTTTCTATGCGTTTGCGAACATTTATTATTACTTAAAATGCAGTCTGTATGCTGCTTGAGGTTACATACACACAGTCTACAACACACACACACACACACACACACAAGCTCTAACATATATGTGTAGGTGTTGATGCGCAGTGTTGGCAGCTGTTGCCGCCCTTGTGACAACACTTTGTCAAACACAATATGCTACGACAGAATACTATTTACAATATACATGTATATGCATTTTCATTCCAAAATTCATAAATTTGTCGAAAATGTGCATAAATACTTTGGCCATTTTTGACATAAACGAGCATAGCTATTAAATAACTCAGTTTCCACATTTCCCTTATTCAATAATTTCACTCTTAAGTATTTTTAACTTTCATTGGCTGATCAATAATAAATTGAACACTTTAAAAGTAACTATCTATTAAGGCAAAAACCAATTTCAATTCTAATAGAAAGCTAAGAAAAATCATTTCAAATATCGAGATATATCAAGTATACAGTTTAGTTCCGGATTGAGTTTTAAAAATGAATTTCTTGTGAAATACGTCACTTAATGATTCCTTTTCTGTGTACAGTTTTGCTTGAGGGAAAACTAAGTAAATTATATTTAGTTATTAATTAAAAAACAAGAAGTGACATTTCTAAACTAAAGTGCTAATTGAACTGGTTTTGGATTTTTAAAATTAATAAACATTTGTTGTGCTTGTAGTCCAGAGCTATAATAAATTACTTCCATCCATGACCATATAAATGAAACAGTTTTTTTTTTTTTATTTGTTCTCAAAGTTTTCCGTAGTTCTATAGTGACAATTCACTTTTGTCGCACATTTTTCGTTTATTTACCCGGCTCAAATTAGGGAAAACTTTGAGCGTTTATTTTTTTTTACTTAAGTGTTTTTTGTGATTTTCTTCTTGCTTCCTTAATTAAAATGGCAAGAACTCCCTGTAGTGACTTGACTTGAGTCGGGTACCGAAAAGAAGAGGTCGTTGAAGATTGGGGTTTAAAATAAGTGCGCGTTCTGACTGATAAATAAGCTACAATTTGCGTTGACATTTTGAAGCGTACTGAGCGCTGGTGGAAAGTGATTTTAATTTTTAATGAGTTCAAGACGCCCAGGGCTGATTAAGTGAGCTTATTTTTCCAGCTAACAATTCCCAAGGTAAATAGACACAACCAAGCTAAGTTGTGCTTGTGTGTGCCTGTGTGTTTTTGTCAGTGTCAGTGCAAACAAATCAATCGTCTCGAACGTTGTTGTTCATTTGACCGTAATATAGTTGGAGGATTTCATTAGCACAACATTTGACACAATACAAACAAATACAAACAAATACACCCACAAACACTGACGAAAAGAATCAACAATGGGCCCACAGGCGTGGCCACTTATCAAGTTCTACATGCCCGGACACATGGCATACATTAAAGCCATGTTAACATAGTTTCCTTTTGGCCCTTCTAGCAATCACAGACTCAGAGAAATATGAGCCCGAATAGGCAACCACAGAATGCTTCATTTGTTTTTACTGCCAAGCTGGGAAAACTTCTTGGACAGCCGATACTTCCCTCTTCTCTCTTATCACATAAACTTGCTACTTGTTCTCTCAGTGTGTATGTGTGTGTGTGTGTGTGTGTGTCCGTTTATTGACATGAAATTATATTAATGAAAGACTTATTGACAGCTGCGATCGATCAGGCGGCCTGACAAGCACAATCCACCTACGCCACAAGGCGATGACAGCTTTGCTGAGTTTATATTTGTTTATTTTTTTAATGCATTAACTTCATGTTACTGTTACAAAACACATTTTACAATTAACTGTGCTATGCAACTTCAAATTAATAGTATAATTAACTAAAGCAAAGATGACACGAAGTCATTTTAATTACCATCATTCAAAATAAAAGTAATAATATTTTTGAAAAATAATTGTTTCCTGCAGGAAATGGACTTTGGTACCATCATGTGTTGGGCGGACAACAATGTGGGTCAACAAAAGGAGCCGTGTGTATTCCACTTAATAGCTGCGGGCAAACCGGAAGCGCCCACCAATTGTACCGTGGTCAATCAAACGTCCGATTCATTGGAGGTATATTGCCTTGAAGGTGAGTAACCTCAAAAGTAACCAAAATGTCTAGCCAATTTGACAGCTTTTATAATTGCTGATGAGCCAATCAATGCTCGAAAACAAAAAAAAAATAAAAATAAATAAAATGGGATGTACTACATATGTTTACATATGTATGATATGTGTATATAAAAAAATATCGTTAGCCACAACTCAAGCAATATGCTGCATGGCTAGTTAAGTGGCCACACAAGAGCTTGAGCTTGAGGTGGGGCCTGGGTTGGTAGCAAGTGGAAATCCTGGTACATGTGTACATGAATATGTTGTTGTGTTTCCTGCAGCGCTTTTCAGACTCATTTAAAATACATGAGCAACTTAAGTGCACTTTGGCAGCAGGCGAATGGGAATGTGTGTGTATTCAACTTCCTTCGAGATAGTACAGCCGAATAATAAAAGTGCAATGAAAGCATACAACTAGAAAAGCAACACGCTGAGAGATGGTCATAGTCCATATACAAAACGCTTTAGTTCGAGAGCAGATTGCAGTATGCTAGTATAGAGATGCTGAAAAAGAAAAAATCTTGGAAAATTTTGCTGAAATTTCAAAGGCCAAAACTCTTGGCTGAATTTTATCCCAAATAATAAATATGGCGCTGCTCTAAAGTGATGAAGTAGTAGTCACACAGAAGAAGTGCCGGCGGACAGACACAGTGAGCGCCAAAAGTTAAGCACAAATTTGTACATACAAATTGTTTTGGGTTGTTATGCAACTTGCTGGGAGTAAAAGTAAAAGTAAAAGCTAAAGGAGAAAACTTTAAATACAAATTCAATTCGCATATTTTATGCGCTACGGAAATGCAAAAGATAGCGCAAAGCGCAAAATAAGCAGCACAAATTTTTGCAGCGCTCGTCCCGAGTTCAAAGTTCAGTTTCACAGAGTTGTATATTAGCAGAGAGAATACAGGATGGAGAACAAGGACAGGCGGGAGGACATCAGTCGAGAAATGTCCTCACAAATTGCGACTGTAAGAGCGGAGTTTATGATGCATTTATGCAGCCCTCGAAACGTTCTCGAGTGCAAAGCAAAGTGAATTCCTGAAGTAGCAACAGCAACAACAACAGGAGCAGAGTAGAAACAGAAACAGAAACAGAAACAGAAGCAGGAACAGCAGCATAACGAGGCGGCCGCTGCAAGTGCAACAAAAAGCGCATAATAACTGCATACTTAATAGCGCATTCTTCGCTGCTGTTTTCCTTATCCTTGTCGATGCCATTCCATGGTCTTGCCGTGCTAAATGTCGCTTGAAGAGCAAATCTATAAAGTATTATAGCCATATATGTGGAATTTCGTATAGGAGCTAAACAAACAAGAAGCGGTAAAAGCGATCTGGCAATCTTGTTTCCACTGCCCCGATAGTATTTAGAGCAAATAGCCGAGTCAGTAGCAGTAATATCAGTAAGTATCAATATCGGATTGGCATCGAAACTTTCGGATGCAGCCAGCGTAATTAAGCATAAGTTAAACTTCATTATCAATAAGCACAAACATACCAATTTATATCGCTAAGACATCCATTATATTGCAATAAATAAAATATATAACATAGTATTTACATATATGAACTGAGTTGTTGATTTGCCAATTTCAAGTATATTAAAGTAAGCAAAATATTATTTATTCAAATATGTATACTGTGTATACTTCTTTAAATGTACAACCACATCGTTGTGAATTCCTACTTGCTTTAGATTTGATCACAATTCTCATGAAATTTCTCAAGTTCTGCCGTTTAATAAATTTAAAAATGTATAAATATTTTACAATATTTTGAATTGCTCTCAACTTGCTTTTTGTACGTCACATAATTTTCAGTGAATCATTAAAAAGTTTCTGTGAAAACACTTTAAAGTTCACGGGAAAGTGATATTAAGAAACCTTTCTTAATTTTCAACTTAGTGTTGTGTGCGGATAACGTAGTAAGAGCGAATGCTTTAAGCTCTCCGCTTTAAGCATTTTATGTACAACGGTTCGCCAACATTTACACCCCGCATCCCTGCTAATTTAGTGGCTGCACATTATTATCATAGTCATCAGCATCATTAAAACTTTAACGCAACTTGGTAAGCAGCAGGAACAACAGCAACATCAAGAAAACGCGATACTTTTTATATTGCACTTTACATTAAAGCAAATGTCGTGCCACCCACCCGCAGGAAAAACGCGGTGGTCCCGAAGTATCTGTGCTGGTTTCCTTTTTTTATAATAACTCAACTTAAACTGCGGTTGCTGCACGTTTCGACTTTAATAAGCCAGCACGCAACGTGGCCAACTTGCCGCAATGGTAACAAGGACGCTGGCGATGAAGAGAACTTGCTTCGAATTCAATTCAATGTGTGCTGCTGCTGCTCACAACGGCGGACAACTTGAGGGCGGCTGCCTCTTGGCCAATCATTGCTCTCTTCTTTTTCATTTACTCTCTCTCCCATTCCCTTTCCCATTCCCCGTCCCCTTCCCCCTCTCCTCCTCTCCCCTTCTCTGTCTCACTCACTTGCTCTCTCTTTTCTCTGGCGAAACAAAAGCTTCGCGGAAGGCAGGCAACTAACCAAACTCATCAAGCGTCGGTTTAATATAATAAAATTTCAGTTTATAACATTTTGTTGCCACTGCCGCTGCCGCTGCCGTTGCTTTATTATTTTTACTCCAGTTGCGCAATTTCCATTGTAGCCTGGTCTAAGTAAATAAAATTAACCCATTACAATGAAGTTTTTGTTGTAACGGGCTGGCATGTTGCTTGCTTGGCCCAATGCTGCGGCAAATTTCATTAGCTAAACGTTTTAAAGTGCGCACAAAATGCTTTGGCTATATAGCCTGGCAACAACGACCGACCCCTGGCCACAAACAATGATGTGCCACACACAAAGGCCTTTGAAGCAAAGGCGAAGCACATTCTTTTGACTCTATTTCTGTGCAGCCAGCCTTTGTGCTCTCGACCTCCTCCACCAGCCATAACTATAAGAACAGTAGCCGGTCAAAATAAGTACAACAATGCCCAGCTAAATTCATAGCAACATATAAAACATTTTACACAACAATTTCTCCTTCGGGTAAAATCCACTTCTACCGACCCCCGCCCGAACAACAAACCCAAGCTCAAGCAGTAGTTGGGGGAGCAACCTTTTCAAGCGCCGCCTTTATTACAAAATATTTAAACATTTTTCGCAAGTGTTTTAAGCCGACTTTTGTGTCTAGAACGAAATACCATTTGAGAAGTAACAACAACAAGAACTTTAGCTGCTTATTTTTCGGCAAAGGGTGCCACATTTGCAAATTGGGTGTTGGATGGAGAGCGCACAATCTTCACTTCAAGTGGTCGGCCAGTTCTTTTGTGGTGTTATTAAATGGCATTTAAAATGTATCTTTAGATTACTTCAAGTATTTTTGTTAACTACACTTGCGACAACCTTGAGAGAGGGCGGCGGGCCCCGAAGTGGTACTTGGACAGACCAAACAAAATATTTACATTGATAATACCCAGAATAAAGGGAGTGTATTTAAGTCTTAATCATTTAATTGCGGTGCTTGGTTGTGACTGCAATTGAAAGGGATGTGACGAATTGGTGATTAAACTACTAAGCAAATCATTTTCTCATTTGATTACCTACAAGAGAATTTCCTGAAAGCAAGCAGTGAATAAATTAATTAATTATAGATTTGTTAGTGAAATTTAAAAAATGAGATGCCAAATCTGAAATCGGACTTTATATTGGTAGAAAAGTTGACTCATTTTTCACCTACATTCCATTTGCAGGATTTGACGGAGGCATGCGTCAATGGTTCCTTATGGAAATCTTTGATCAGCACAGTGGTCTGCTGCAGGCCAACATAAGCGCCAAATTTGCAGTATTCAGTGTTACTGGCCTAGATGCGGGTCGTCTATTCCGGATCTATATCTACTCGGTGAACGGACGGGGACGCAGTGAAGCGGTGGCCGTCGATGGCTACACTTTGAAGGCCGCCGAGAAGCAAACTGGTAAGTAAATGATGGAGCTATGGACTGAGGTGGGTGATTGTGGAATGGCGAATGGGAAAATATTGCGCGGAGCATTTGAAAGAGACTTATGAATTTTTAATGCATTTTTATGTAGCGCGTGTATTTGCCATTTATGAATTTTTTATGTTAATGTTTTTGAGAATCTGTACAATTGCATAACTTTGCATGAGATTTCTTAAAGTATATAAAATTACAAACAATAGACTTTAGCATTTTAAAGTCGGGCAGAAGGTTTCATTCAGCTTTTATTATTGTCATGCCGTCTCACAATTTAATTAAGCTAAACTGCTCAATGAATTGTAAATTTCCCAGCGCAACACAAAAACTTTTGCCTTGCAGTTGCCCTGCCAGCAACAAAAAATTATGCAAGCGCCAAAGTAGCGCAAAGGAAAGAAACAAATTATATAAAATGATTAACATTAATGAATTGTCTTTAGAAGGTTTTCGCCTGGCACGAAACGAGAAACGCCGAGCAAAAGCAAATTGTAATACTAATTAGCTGAGGCAAAATGCCGTAAAGCAAAGTTTAGAAGAGGTTTTTTCCAATGGATAGCGGTGCGGGGTTTTATGTACTTGACAGAGACAGACACATATTTTTTGGGTAAACAACTTGAGTCGTTTTAATTTTTCATAAAGTCACAATACAAAAAAATTGCAAAAGAAAATAAGAAAATATGATGAAAACGTTACAAGAAGGCTAAAACATAAATGGAATGGAGAAGATTAAATACCCTTACAGTATTACAACCCAATTAATCACTTAGAGTTTACTTTTCATCATTAATAATATATATATATATATAATATAATATATATATACAACAAAAAATTATTTAAATAACATAATATATTTTCAACCTTAAATTACATTTATATTTAAAAAATTCAAATTGGTACATAGAATATGTTCTAAAATGTTTTTAAACAAAGAAATTTTCGAAATAAAATAAGCAAGTAATAAATAAAAAGAATTTCAATTGGTTTATCAATTCAGACAAATCTAAAAAAAATAGAGAGCTTCGAACTGAAAAGCTGCTTTAGGAAATCATTATACTCATAATGTGTTTAGTGTAATGAAAAAATATTAGTATTCAGCCGTTTTATTAATGGGCAACTGTTTTGGGCAACTGCTTAGCGGCCCTTTGTCTAATTGGGCATTAAAATGACTCCAAATTAAACATGATTTTCACGTGCTTTTTCTTGCTTACACATTCTCTCTTTCTCTCTCTTTTTTTTTCTTCTTGATTTACATTTTCTATATTTATTTCTTTGCAGTTGCATTGACGTCGTACAAGGGTAGCGCCCAGGGGGCGAACAGCTTTGAGCTGACACCCATTCTGTCCATTGGCATCTTTGTGGGCATTCTGGTGGCCCTGGTCTGCATTGGGATTGGGACCATTGCAGCGTTGAAGTTGCGCTCGCACAAGCATCAGCATCAGCAGCAGCAGAAGTTCGCACATTCGAATGCGAAATTCTCACGTCCAGGCAATTTGCAAATTAAGGATAAAATCTCATTGCCATTGAGCCACTCCGAGGAGATGTACGACGAGAAGAATCCCGATGTCGTCCCCTACAATGAGGGTAAGTGCAATTGCATTCCATTCTCCACCATAGCTCCTTTTTGCCTCAAGATGTATGCGCCAGGATGATCCCAGTGTGTGAGTGTGTGTAATTTATGTACGTTAGCGAAAGGGCTTTAGGACAAATAGGCTGCCAGTCAGCCAACACAAACAAACCTACATACACATGCCTAAAGAGTCTGTTGGGGGCGGGTCTTGTGGATGGTAAGAGGCGAGTCTGCATTTTTATGCCAGTGTTGAAATATTTAAATGACAGCTAATTGCTGGCAGGCAGACAAGCAGGCAAAAACTGTTGTTTTTGTTTGCTCATATGTCTGCAGCTGAGTACCACCTACCCTGCCACATCTCCCTGCCCAGTGCCTTGCGGCATGCAGCACTTTAAGTTTGCAGAGATTTTAGTCAGTGCACACGTTTCGGCTTGATTAATGGCAATCAAGAAATCAGCAGCCGCTCACACAGCTCAACAAATTAATCAATTTTCTTAACGTACAGCAATTTCACGGCAAATGCGGTAAAGGGCGAAAAGAAAATTGAACGTTACGCCCCAAAAACCATCAACAGATTTACCGAACAAGAAAGAGTAGTTAACTTGGCTATGCCGAGTTTTGAATACTCTTGCAGACAACAAGCAGTTGAAGCAGTTTATTTATCCAGTGGTGATTATATATATAGTCCAAAGTTGATATCTTTTCAACATTTGTAGATTTGTCTAGCTTTTTGGGGAATTAAAAAAGTCGTGAATGTAGAAAGTCTGAATGGTTGAATGCCAGGTATATGTTCAAGGATATCAGACTGATGGAGCCAAAGTATCGTTAAGATAATTCCAAAGAAGAGTCTGGTTAATTGTACCGCCATTGCTGATCAAGCATTTTAATCATATGTTCACTTAATGGGGTTGTGAGAATATATAGCAGCCTCTGCAAGGGTAGAAAATGGGCAGCATCAAACCGTTGGGCAGCGAAAAACTTTTCCTTTGCCCCACTTAACAACACCAACAACATGCTAAAAACTTTTCACTAAGCCAACTTTCTTTCTCTCTCTCTCTCTCTCTCTCCCTATCTATCTATCTTTATCTCTCTCTTTCTTTGTCTCGCTCTGGCTTCAATGTAGTTGATGGCGAATATAAACAAAAATCAGCAACTCAAACGCCTTCGGGACATCTTTCGACAACCAGCGAGGCAGAAATCAGTTGCAAACCTGGCGCCACAGCTGGCGTCGGCATCAGCGCCGGCTGCTCGGCTGACAGCGGCGCTTACCAGAGCAGCAAGGTAAGTTATCGTTTGCTAAAGGCCAAACTGTTAACCTAAAAATGATTGTCCAAGTATAATCTACAATCAGCCAAATATTGAAATGATTACTATAAAATACAAATTACAGAAATTAGAATTGCTAAAATAAATGAAGTGAATTTCTTAGCGTTAGCATTTCAGCGTATTATATTAAATTAAAATTAAAAAAAATTAGTGTTAAAGCTATTTACAAATCCATTATACTGGTGCAACTAAAGCTTTCCAGTTTGCGAGAGATCCCTGTATTTTGTTTATTCGTAAATAAAAAATGTACATTATGCACAAAATATATTTATCCCTGCAGGACGATGAACTGCATTATGCGGAACTTTCGCTAAACAGCGCCGCGTGCAGCAGCTCAAAGAAGAGCCAACCCAGCCAGAGCACAGCTCAGCAACAGCAGCAGCAGTCGCAGTCTCAGCAGCAGCAGCAGCAGCTAGTTATGGGTGGCACATTGCCACACGGCTCGAGTATGAGGAAGCTCTTGCCGAGCATTCCGGCAACGGCGACGCTGCAGCGCCACAAGCCGAATGCGGGCGGTCTGCAGCATCCGCATCAGCATGCACCGCCGCCCACATACGATTATTTTGAGGAGCCCACGATATACGCGCAGATAGATGCATATAAGACACGAACTGGAGCTGCCGCCGCCGCCGCTGCTGCTGCCGCCATGCAGGTGGACACTGCGGCCGGTGCGGCTTTTGGTCCATGTGTCTCATCGCCGGGGTCACAGGGCACACCATCAACTGTGTCGCCGGGCACAGTGCAAATGTATACGCTACCTCCACATCCGGGTGGCTATCATACCCTGCCGCATAATCACCAGCAGCAGCAACAGCAGCCGCATAACTCGGCATCCATGATGCAAATGATGCATCAACAGTTGCAACATCATCCAGCTGGCAACATTCCCATGCCGCCCTCCTACCAGCAGCATCAGCAGCAGCAGCAACAACAACAGCAACAGCTGGCACATGGCCAAATGCTCGTCTCGAGCAACAGCAGCGGTCTGGCCTCGACGGCAGCCGTAGCCAGTCCCAGCAGCTCCCTGTCAGGACTCTCCGGCGTGGGCAAGTCCTATTCGCGCGAAATAGTCACAGTACGCACGCCTCTTATGTACTCGCAGCAGGAGAGCTGCGTCTAAGTTGCAGTCCTTTTTAAATTGAGAGCTCGTCGAGGTTTGTGTCTAGGCTAAGCGCGTTGCCAAAACGAATTGAAAGCTTAAATTAACCTGAAAAAAACAAGAACTACAAAAATTTAACAAAAATTAAAAAAATAAAGTAATACATCTATATATTAAAGGGCAATTTGCCATTTGCCAGTTTCCCATTTACCAATAAAGTATGCATATAAATCCGTGTAATTATAAATGTCAGTGCATAAAAATATTTGTGGACAAACCATAAATTTGATAAAAGCAACAAATTGTGAAACAATATCGATTAACGCAAAATAACAGATAAGAGCAGAGATCCTAATGCACAGATTTCTCACTTTATTTAACAACAACGTATTAAAATGCATTCCGAAATCCGAAAGTCAAAATATTGCTATGAAAATATAATAGCTTTTTGGCTATCTAAGCAATATGCCAGAAATAAAACGAAATTAAATACCGAACAATAAACTATAATTAAAATGATGGCCATGTAAAGTATTTCCTTAACTGACATTGACTGAACTTTCATGTTTTTATTCGTCTTTATTGCATATTTAATTTGAAACTCTACAACAGCAAATAAATAATTCCAATTAAAAGTGCATCACAAAAGGTTCCTTCCTTACAGTAAGTACTAAAATATTGCAGCTGCAGACAAAAAAAAAAAAAAAAATATTTTTATTAAAAAAAATCAATTTTAAATGAGAATGCAAATACTTTCCAATTCGACTTTGTAAATGTTTGTAAATGTTAAAATATAACTATATATATATAATTATATATATATATATATATATATATAGGATATATGTATGTATGTGTACGTATATTATTAATTATTAAGCAGAGCAACAACAATTTATAGCAACTAAGCTCAATATGCAATTAAGCATTAATTGATTTAAATTAACTAAAAGCTCACAGAAAACACAAAAAGAAAACTCTTGGCAATTAAAAAATATATGAAAAATAAAAAAATATAAAATAAAACATAAGCAAATTAAAAATAAATATATGATGAAATATAAGAAAAACAACACATTCATAACCACACATATTAGCTGCAATTTTAGTTTAGCATAAATATTTAGTAGCTCTTAATAAATGTAAATAGAAAAATATACGAATACATTTCTGATTTTTTTTTTAAATCAATGTGTCATAAAAAATGTAAATTGGTTGCATATTCAAAGTTACAACTCAAAAGACTTAAAACTTCAAGAAACATTTTGTTGGAAATGCAGCAATTTGTTACGAGCTCTAAACAATATAAGTGTAAATTGCATTTTTAATATATGTGTTTAATAATTATTTATATATAATATAAATAAATAAATGTATCTTCAAGCACCCTGTACATTTATTGTTGCAACTTTAAATTTGCGTTTAAGACAAAAACACAAAGAATCTTTAAACTTTTTAGGCTAATTTGTAAAAAAGAACTGTTGAAAAAACTGTTTGTCTAGCCAGACGAGGGCGTATTAAATATGGAGAAGCAACAATTATAGCTATACAAATAAATGTATTTTAAAAGTGATGTCTTTTTAACAAAATTAATCAGAAAAGGACTAAGTGTATGTATGAAAGCGTTCCACGATGAAGTAACTTTAGCTAATAGATAATAAATTAATTTAAATTAATTGTAAAGTAAATAAATATAACAAAAAAAAAAATTGAAACCAAAACTAAAAAAGTATAAATGTATGTTATTTTAAGCACTCAAAAAATTAAATCCAAGGCGAAAATGAGAAGTCCCCTAAACCAAAATACAAGGAATACAATAAAAAAAACTGAAGAAAAAACTAAATAAATTCAAAAATAAATTCGAAAAATTTCAAAGAAATCAAGCAGCGAGTGTTTTTTGTATTTATTTAAAATATATAGTGGCGCCTTTTGCTGTTGTATAATCTTTACAATTTTTTGTAGTCAAGGACTTGCATGAATAGCCCAAGTGGAGGACGCCTAATCGAATGAGGCAAGTACAACCTTGCCGACAGAAGGTTGCTGAAATATTTTGTTGCAACAATTTGGCCATTTAGGGCCCGCCATTTGGCAACAATTTTAATCACACATACACATGCACACGCAAATTGACAATGCAACATTGCCATCGTCATTGGAGCCTGTCGCCTGCAACATCCAGAACGTCTTGCGACGCGGTTGCTGAATTTCTGCCTCAAGGGCAGCCGGAGCCAAATAGCCTTTTCAAATTGTGCACTCAAATGGACACAGCGAGGACAGCTAGCGACGAAGGCGAGGACGAGGACGAGGACAACGCTTATATGTGCCTCTGTCTGTGCAAACATGGCGTATGAGTTATCTATGAGTAAGTGACTGTGTGTATGTGTGTGTGTGTGTGTGTGTGTATGTGGAGGGACATACTACAACATTTCTTACATTTAGCTTTTTCCATGATGATTTCTTTTTTTTATTTTTTATTTCTGCAGAGGTGGAGGAGGGGCAACCGTTTGCATGTGCACTGAGGCGTAGATCTAAAGAAATAAAGAGCAGAGCAGGCACAGACATCACTTAGATTTGTGGCTTGAAAGCCAGCAATGGCAACGACAATGCCAAATGGTCATGTTTGACAACTTTTACATCTCCTACTTCTTCACTTACTCTATCTCTCTGCCTCTATCTCTCTCTCCTTCTCTCTCTCTCTCTCTCTCTCTATCTCTCTTTTTCTCTCTAATGCATTACGAGATTCCTTCTGATGCGTTACTTTGTCACGCTGGTCGAAATTAAAAAAGGAATCTGATATTGACACACTGCAAGACAGCACAACTAGATAGAGATAGAGATAGAGAGAGAAACGGAGAGAGGGCGATGCAGAGGCTGCCAGAGAAATCATTGCAGCAAATACATGTAACGAATTTTTGGGAAAGACTCCTCTCGCTATTGTAGAAGTGGTCACAGTTTCACTCTCTGCTCATATGTCACATTTCAGACATTACATTCAGCACTCTGTGGTAATTTGTGGGCCAGCTTTGATGTTCTCTGGCTCTCTTACAGGCGACTGATTTCAAATTAAAATTTGAAATGTACGCTCAATTAAGTGTAGGTTTCCTCTGTTCAGTTTTGATTGCTGTTAAATGTCCAGTTGTGGGTACACACATTTGTGTTCAGTACTGTAATTAAATATTAAGGGAATATTGACAACTTTGTAGCAAGCATGATGGAGCCCAATTCATGCGCCGTGTACGCATCATGAGAGTGATGAAAGCAGATTATTTAAACCGAATATTGTTTACATCTATTTAAACTAATTTTTGCTTACTTATTGAAATAACTGGTCAGTTTGGATGATAATAAAATGATATGCTGGTCTGATTTGACTCACTCCGAATAAGATATGTACCTTATACAACTTGCCATATTTAATTCCATCCGTTAGTTAGACGATAGTTTGAATTTGGAAATAAAGTTGATAGCTATGAGTTAAACTTATATTGATCTTTTATCTATTATCTATTGTCTACTGGTTTTATTTTTCATCACAACTGAAAAATCAGTTGCAGTTGCACTTCAAATTGGTGCATACAACCATCGGCGAGTGATGCGGCTGTCCATCACTGTCAGGAGAGGAAGAGCAGCGGCAAAATGCTTTGCTTGGCAACAACAGCGTAACTCATCCATTGATATCTGCTGGCCATTTGTTATGCAACACATGCAACTTTTTCCGGGAGCACATGCATCAAACTGAGAACGCATAATACACTCGTATATATAACATTTGACAGCGCATCAACAAAAATTGGAACGTACTGGCAACCAAGCAAATGCGCAATATTCATAATTACTAATGGATTTTGCTGTGTTGGATGGGATTATTGTGCAGGTAAATGATATGACTGCTGGATACTACTCGACTTCAGTGTCTCTTTGGCTTGTGTGTCGTATCAGCGTCGAGTCAAGACAATCTCATTACCATTATTTTTTAGCAGCAGCAACTTTCAATCAATTTCCGCTTCAATATCCTCACAAGGCGCGACGCAAAGGCAAATCTCAAGCAGCGGCTCATGTGCAGTGCCTGAAAATGCACTCAACACACACATTGTGCCAGAGCCATTGTTGTTACACTATATACCCATAAAAAAAAGCAGAGAAGGGTTCAGAACGTTGTGTGAGTGTAACAGGCTGTAGAAAACATATCCGATCCCATAAGGTACAAATATAACGACGAGGCTATTCACGCTGTTTGTATTACAGTTTGTATGCTTTTGCGAATAAAGGCATTAAATAAAATGCCTTTTAGGGCCGGTTACAGGGTATATACGAGTTATGATTCTTTTAGCTGGAGCAAGCTTACTTATTGTTGTTGTCGTCATTGCTCTTATTGTTATTATTGCTATTGCTGCGTCTGCTGCTGTTGTGTGTCAGCGTCGCCCAAGTGACAGCATTGTTTTGCGCCCTGACGCAGCTGATGCTACAAGAATTGCACGCTTTGAAGTAAACAAGCAATTTTGCAAAGCTGCAACAGCAGCAGCAGCAGCAGCAGCAGCTGCAGAAAGAGCAAGTCCTTCCAACCCAGCACGTATGTATATATAGTCTAACTTTCAACTTACTTCCAGTCTCCCCCGTCTACCCATTGTTTCTTTTTTTCCTACCGCTACTGTCAACTGTCAATGTACTCTCGACTCGACGTTGCCTTCTGCTCCTTTTTGCGTACATTTTTTATACAGCATCGCTCTTTGACTTTAGATGCTTTTGTTTGGCTGCTGCCGCCGCCCTATCAGCCATGAATTATTTTTGCATTTTTGCAGCACGCTGACAATGATGGGCATCGTAGCAACGCTGACTGCTGACAACAATGTCATCAGCGTAATCATCAGCCATCAAGTTTAGCAGCATTTTTGTATGTGTACATCTCCGCTCACCATCGAAATGTGTGTTTGAAGTTGAGACCCGCTACGAGGAATACTTTCACTTGGGGGCATAATTAATATTACGCATACGATAGGAGGAACGCAGTCGGACAGCTGGGCTTTACAAAGCGTCGAGCTCTACACAAGCTTTGCTCCGTTTGTTAAATGTCGGGCCATAAATTACAGTTATACATGCCATAAATATTCAAATAACATGACTGCACCCTAAATACTCTCCCACAGCA